GGATCGAGCACTTTAGGCTCAGCGGGAAGAAGGGCTTGGGCGCGTCGGGCGGGGGAGGGGTGTCGGTTTCTGGGTCCAGCAAGTCGTGAAGGCTCGTCAGCAGTCGTTCCATGACGAGGGACGGCAGTCGCGAGCCGGGCAGGAAACATAGGCCAAGAAACTGGACGATGTTCGGGTGGCGGAGGGTGCTCATCAGCTGGCATTCCCTCAGGAACTGGGACGGGACCAGAGCCGAGGGTTGGAAGATGTCGTGAATTTTTTTGGCGGCGCAGACGGCTCCAGGGACGGCCACCTCCTCCACGCAGCCGTAGGCTCCTGCGCCGATTGTGGTACCAGTGAGCCGTACGTTTGTGAGCACGAACGGCTGCACCTCGGGGTGGTTACGAAGAAACACGGCCATCTTTCTCTCTAGATCTATATTATAGCTCTAACGAGTGTGTAGCTGACGTCCTGAGACTCGCGGATGTCGTCGCCGCAAAACCAGAGTTGCACGAATGGAGGACGAGTCGGCAAATGCTTGCTGGCGTCACGCAGAGCGTTGATAAAGCAGACTGAGAATTTTCTGTCGTTGCCCCCCCCATCCCATGCCCAATTCATAATTGCCTCTCGAATACGGGGCGCGCGCGAGCCTACGCATGCGTGTATATATACGCGCATGCGTATGCGCCCTTCTATTTTAATTTTTTATTTTTTTTTTTTTAATTTTTTATTTTTTATTTTTTCGTCACACGACGTTATATTATATACAGTATGAATGCAGGTATAAATAAGAAGATAGAGAGCAATTTAGAGTGATACAAGGTGTGTTTTCGAGATGATCAAATCGACCGCCATGGGCATTCTGATGGCATGTCCGCATGATGATCTTGCACCCCTGATGGCCTGGATGGAGGAGCGTAAAAGGGAGAAGGCTAGACGACAACGTAGCCAGCGGAGAGTGTGGCTGTAGGTGTGGTCCCACTTGGAGGCGAGCATGGAGGCGAGTCTTTTGTAGAAAGTGTTGGCCTCCCTGGCCAAGCCACCGGTAGCAGCGCCCTTCTATGGAATACCATGTTTTAAAATGGCGTAACCGCTTTTTCGCGACCTGACGCCGTTTTCTCCGCGTAAAATCTTCCCGCCCGCGTTCGGTTACGCCATTTTGAAACAAACGGTATTAATACCCTTTGACACACCCGTCCGTGCCGTGCGTGCGCGCACCTCTCTACGCGCACGCGCACGCACCACCGGAAGAGGAGGTTGGGCGGGCACAATCAAACGTCCCTAAGATGTCCGCGCATGCGGCTATAATGTAATCAAGTATCATCATAGCTAGCTGCGAAAAGGAAGTGGCTCTGGCTGGTGTTCAGGAGGGCCAAGACCTTGCTATCTCTCGATTGTTTATATGTCCAAGTGTGTACCTCTGAGAACACTCGTAGCCTTGCAAACGCCAGTGTGCCGTTCTGCAGAAAATGTTGACTCAGTGGGCCATGGTTGACTGGGTTACGTGGGCGAGAATACGACTCTAAGGCGCACGTGATACAAGCGATGACGTTGTGTGCACAAGTTGTTAATTGTGTCTAGTCTGCGCACTGTAGTTGGGCTGGGGGCGGCTTGCGTACGATCAGCCGTCTTCTCTCCTCTTCTCTCTCTTCCTTCTCCACCCTTTCTTCCCCAAAATCCCTCTTCTCTCTACCATTCATAGTTTATAGCTGGAAATGTTCCTATTGTGTGTACAAATGTCTCAAAGGAATGTCCGATGTACATGTACAAAGACTATTACTGTGATGATGTTAGGGGAACTTATGTGTAGAACAAAAGGTTTACTGTTGTGTGGTGATTATTGTTTTACTTCTTCCCTTCAGGAACACAACACATGTCCAATATGTAGAGAAACTGTGCAGACAATTTCATCTTAGATTGTTACGTAACACTCAGTAGCAACTGTTTTTCTTTTCTGAACTCAAATTAATTTTGTTGTCTGCAATAATCAATTTTAATAATTTATGCAATCAGCAAAATCACTGTGTAACAATACACTCTTCAACAACATCTACATACTGAAGGAGTCCTTTATCTATGATGATCTCGTCAGGTGATGTTACACTGATGTACTGGCTACTAAACACATGCTCCTACCACTAGTCATAGAGCCAATCTCCACCCACTGTCCATCCACTAGCTGGTGAATGGTATTGACTGATGATCCACGTCGCCAGCCACCAATGAGTACTAGCTGTCCACAGAGAGTGGCAGCTGTTGAGCTTGTGACTGGTAGAGGAGGGAGAGGTTTCCAGGATAGGGTGAGAGGTGATGTGATTGGTTGATCACTGGATGGTAGGGCTGCAAGAGAACACGAGTAGCCATTAGCATCAATTCCTATCACATTCAACTGATCACCACATATTGTGGCAGAAGGGTAGCAGAGAGGTTGTGGTAAGTCTGTTAGTTGGTACCATCTTCTGCTCTTCACTTGAAATAGTTCTACTGTAGCAGTCGAACTCAAACCACCATCAGACCCCCCAATCACAATGAGGTATTCACCATCAGATGTAGTAACTACAGCAGTTGGGAACGTGCAGTGTTCATTGGAGGGTTATTCTCAACCCATTTCCTCTGTCGTAGTGTGTGTATAGTTTCGTTAGTATGACATATCCACATTCCTCCCCACAGCAGTAGTTCCCTGTCAATAACGACTAGTCCAGAGTGACGATATGGACATGAAGGAAGTTCCTCCCATTTCTCTGTACTACATCCATATTGGTAGACTGAAGTGGAGTCATCTGGGGTGAAGTATGCAAATGTACCATCAGTTGTTGCAGATCCTCTGGTCATTTCACATGGTGCTGTCTTCTTACGATGACACTGCACAGTGAGCTGAGGGGAGATCACATGACATGTAATGACATCATAATCATCAAATCTGGACCTCAGAATGTAACACTATGGCTGCATACATGTGTACAGTTTGCACATATGTCATGCAAATTGATTGGGCATAAATCGATTACAGGCTATTATGCATCTAGTTTACAGGCTCACAATTCACCCTCCATACATTCTCTATGGGAGAGAAAACAAGTGCGTGACTTCTCTCTGTCTCTTATGTGTGGCACGACCAGCCTTGCACGTGGCAACACTCATCTCTTTCAGTGACTCTGGCTGAGTCTCAAATCTGATTATTTTCCACGTGCATATATATATACACTTTTTTATACGAATGACACGGTAAGATTACGTAGTGACTAACAAGTAAATAGTCTACATACAGTAAGGGTGCTACATATGTATGGTACATGCAAATGTAGTGGCCAGTTTAGAGCATGTATTCACAGACCTTTGCGACGCATGGGCCACACCCACTTTCTAATAATAATGGGTGTGTGTCTACCGTAGAAGGCAGAGAACACAACTGCACATAATGTCGATGGAACCATTTTGTGTCATGTCCCAAGTTGTGCACTGGTATTCATTCTCTCCCATAGTGTATGTATGTTCACTGGTATCCCATAGTGTATAGTGTATGAATACGCCATACAACCAGACACCAACACAATCAGTAAATTTCTAGGCATTTCTAAAGGTCTCCCAACACTCTACCACAACAGTTATCAATGTTAATGTTGCCTACCTTTCGTGGTTTAACTACAGGTGGTATGGCATGGGGTACAGCTGTTGCTAGGGGAGCAGGCTGGGTCTGACAAAAGAGGGTGGAAACACAGAGCAATATTCACGGATATGATTCATAGCCAATGAATAAAATGATTATCAAACGGCAAGCTATTTAATAAGATATAGGGATGGTGTCATGTAGCTTTGTGTGTCTCAGCTGTGTAATGACCCCTAGTTCTTTCCTTTTTCATGTTTGGAGTCAATCGTATGCATTTTTAAAAAATAATTTTTACCCAATGTATAGGTTAGGATGATCCTAAAACATTGCAGAACCTCATCCGTGGATCCTAGCATTATTCCGAAGACAAGCACAACAACTCATTTTCACACCCACTTTACACCTCATACATTGTTTTGCTAGTGCATCTTACATAGCATGGATGGTGCATGGATAGACACACAATAACCTTCATGCCATTCTCAACTAAAACCTGGGACCTTAAAATTGACTGGCTGTAGAAATTACCTCGTTCACTCGTGAAATAGTTCCAGAGGCAGAAGAGTGAGGAGAAATGGCTCCAGACAAACTAGGGAAGGCTCCAGCCTCTCTGTATCTGTAGGAAATTATGACATAATCCAAATCTCCGACAGAGCCTATCATTGACTAACACTGGCAGTTTCACTAGCTCAGTCATGGGAGGACCGTCTCTCATGGGACAAGACTCCACGTGATGGTGAAAGGCAGCCAGCTCTCCCTGCCAGCCACACCCTCTGTCCTCGTGGCGACAGAACACACGCAGCGAGTTCACTTGACGCTGGAAGTGCTTGCTAAACATTGTGCTCCAATCCTTCTTCTTGCACAGCGGACATGCCCCTCCCTCTGTCTGTATTCTGCTGGCCGCTTCCTCTGAGATATGATTACCACAGCATGATGTGAGGTGAGGCTGGAGCAGAACACCAGTTGTCACTGGACAGAAGAAGTCATCTGATGGCTCCTCAACAAATGGATAGTCCTCATCCACTGACAACACTTGGCCTGGCTCCTTGCTAGAAGAGTGCATTTTAAATCTTTACCAAAGATGGACAAAAATGTTTTACTACCTTTTGTTGGCAGCATTAGACTTAGCAATTGCCGAGCTGTCACTGGTTGAGGATGGAGCCACCTGCATAGAGAAAAGACTCTGATGTCTGGTAGATAATGCATCGTAGGACCAATGCAAAGTAACAGAACATTTGTGAACATACTATGACGCAAATCGCTCTGCCTTTCGCGACGTGTGAAGCAAAATTGCAGGGACTGAAAAAAAACTTTT